CAAGATGATGAAACAGCTCCTGAAGTGAAACCTGCAATTCGACTTTACTATGGTCAAGATATCACTGGAAACGAAGATGATTCAGTTTTTCGAAAATTGAAGGATTGTTTTTCAGATGGTTACCATGGTGAATGGGCAGGATTTTACAATAAAGGTTATCCAGCGTCTTCGAAGCATCGACACATGTTTTGGCATGTCAAGTACAGGAAGACCATGTCTCCACATCAAGATTATTGGTACCATCTTACAGATGACCAGTTGATGGTTGAGTACATTGCCAGACACAAGGATCAAAATCCACAACTAGAACTACAAGAACTCAATAATCACATTGAATATGGTTGTAGTGATCCAAGGATGCATCCTCTTCATCAAGACAAGGCAGAAAGATCCTCAAAAGAAGCAGAAAAGAGGATTGATGACGATTTTGGAAATCTCACAAGGGTACTCCAAGATTACGTTGAGGACCACAAGGTCTTGCCTTACTGTATGATCTTGCATAGCTTGGCTTACAGATATTTAGGTGGAGGCCTATCAGACCCAACTTACAAGGATGCCGAATTTCCATACAGATCCTCTCCACAGATAACAGCAATGTTTTGGAATTTGGGAAACTGGTGCAGAAACAGATTTGAAAAATGCCCGGTTCCAGAAAGATTTCAACAATTCATTCCACACATTGACTACACTATCGATGAAGATCATGAAAAAATTGATGAAACCAAATCACAGTTCAACAATTACTTCATCAATGTCATCAAGAACTTTGGAGGACATCTTTTCATGAATTGCGAGGCTGGTTCGTTGTATCCTCACAGAGAAAGACTCGACGAGGGTGACTTTAAAACTTGCTTCAATGACTATCATGACTTGATGGTGGCAGCTCGCCTTGGAAAGGATGGCTATATCAAGCAAATTGCTGGATATCACACAGATGACAGCGACACACGAGTTCGACAAGTCTCATGGGCAATCTTTGAAGTATCTTGGGGAAAGACAAAGGATCGAGATACAGATGAGATTGTTGACTTGACAAGAGCTAGAATGAGGATGACACGTGTGTGCGTTTATCACGTCGGACAGAAGTATGCATCAGACTCTGCTGGGATTGTTGGTGAGTGCTTAGCTGTTATGGCTTTTGAGTGTGCCAGATATCAAGTTGACTTCATCGCAGGTGATGGAAACAAGGCATGCTATTACACCACACCAAAATCTCCAGGCGTCCCTACATACCAACACAGCCTAATCCAATTCTGGATTAACAGAATGGTGGGTGTTGCAACACAAGCCATGCGCAAGTATTTTGATTCATCTTGCCCTCCAATCAGGGTCAAGCATTTCATTTCTTGCAGTTATCGTGACTTGGATTTTCTTGCAACGCACTTGGATGGCATTAGAACAGCAACATACACCGACGAGCTCATGAACAAGACAAATGGTAAAGGTGATTGCTGTATGTTAACAGTTGTTGAGTGGGATCATTCACGTTTGATGTGTCAGGAACACCCAGACGACTTTGATGGTGATGAAGATCGCATGAACTATGTGGGTGAATTTTATTTCAAGGTAAATGAAACTTGCTTACATGGTGATCACAACATCTTCATGGTTGCCCCAAATGATCGTGATGCTCATAATCCAATTCTTATTCATCTTGATCCTTCTGATATGTCATGGAATGAACGACATCATTACAAACATTCCTTCAAGAAGAAGCAGTATGCAGATACAAGAAAGGAGAGACAGAAGGAGAAAAAGAGAAAGGCATATGAAGGCCAAGCATCAACGTATCAGGGCAACGCTAGTTGGGGTGGATCCTCATCTTCTTCGTCCAGACCATGGAGAACAAGCTTTTGGCTATAAGTGAGTGTACACTTCTTTAAATGAAGATAACACAGCATGAGAGGCAGTGTACAGTTTTCTGTGCATCAACGTATTTCACACAGATGGCATATACTCTTTTAGATAGAGATAATGCCACAAGTGTCTGAACTTCAATTTAATGTAAAATAGATACTCTTGTAAAGAGAGATACTATACACATTTATCTCCATGAACCATCCTGCGAGCAGACCACTCCGAATGGAGCGAACTCCAAAAATTACCAACTTCGATTTCAGTCCATTGTTTGCTTGAATGAGCAACTTTGGAGATCCGCTATTTCCGTTTATTTCGTGATTTGGTCAATTGTTTTTCGTATGACCGGAATTTCTGAATCTTGCGAACCCGAACTTTTCAATTCGAACTTTCACCGGTAGAGCAAGGCATTTTGCCTATGGAGAGACCGTGCGCGAAGCACCATTGGTCGCTACTGGAAAAATTAGCGAATCCGCTGTTCTTTTTCGGCATGTCTTTAGGACATTCGCTGCTTTCACGTGTTTTTCAATTCGAAGCCACTGCGTAACTCCGGTTTCTTTTGCTATTTGCCATTGTGTAGAGAAGTCAGGAAGATACTCTTAATACCAATTGGGTACGGCAAGGCGTAGTGCTCTACTCATTGCTTTTGAATTTGTGCCTGTGTTTTTGTTTCGACCTCATACCTACATAGGTACATGCATGAGTATTGAGCACATTTATATGCGCCCTTCAAGGCTCAAGAGGTATATAGAGTAACCCTGTAGACAAGCACGGACCGGCAACAGGCTGAGTAAAACAAGTGCTGTCATTGGGGAAGACGCCTTAGCTGATCTTGAAGTAGACGCTAGGGCCCCTCTTCAGCCCTCCCCCCCGATCCCCCCCCTCCCGCTTTTTTTAATTATTTAAATTCAAACTTGCACACTTTTCAATGCACTAGTTTGATTCGAGTATATTTATATTTATTTATATTTATGTTTAAATAAATATATATATATATTTATATTTATGTTTAATTTTATATATATATACATATTTACAAATACATATATATATATATTTATGTATATATATATAAGTATGTATCTATAAGTATATATAAAAATACACATGCATATTTACTTTAAGATATACTGACATATATATATATATATGACATATTTGTGGTTGTTTTTATACACAGCTTTGATCCCAAAATAGACTATAAATAATCACGTGATTATAGCTATTTGTATGTACATGTTGTATCCCTAAATACCCCCTAACCCAACCCTAAATAGATCCTAAACAAATCCAGAAGAAACCATTAAGCCAACCCTAAATAAATCCTAATAAATCCTAAGCCAAACCCTGCATATATATATATATCTATATATTAAATACACCTGTAAACGCACTGATCTACATATACATATAGTCATGATTAGTCATGCATATATACCTTTCTACATCTACAATTTGTAGTTTGCACATCGTGTATTTCCAAAAATAAATGAAAACTTCAATAAAAAACAATGAAAACCATGTAAAAATCAATGAACAACCCTGGAACCAGAAATGAAAACAAGTGAAAACTGAATGAACACCATGCACAAATTGAAGAAACACATAGAAAAAACGAAGAAAACCATTGAAAAATGGAAGAGCACCATGGAATATCGAAGAAACCATAGAACAATTGAAGAAAACCATAGAAAAATTGAAGAAAACCATGGAACAATTGAAGAAAACTCGATAGAAACCATTGAAAAAAAAACTGAAACCAGTCGAAAAATTGATGAACAGTGCGAATGAGAGATTTTAGCTACAAAATGCAGCAAATGAGTGATTTTAGTTGCAAAAACCAAGGAAGGGAGCCTGGACGACCAAAAAAAAAACAAACAAAAAAATAAAAAAATCCCCCAAAAAATGCGCACCCATTAATAAGTGTCCTAACTAGCCCTTTTAGGGAAAAAAAACGCATGTCAGGACACTTGTTGAATCTGGACTCCAACTATATTCATGTCATTTGGGTTGAGCAATTGTTGCAAGAAACTCAGACGTTTACTCGTGGGTTTCTATGCATGCTTGTGCGAGAGGAACTAAAACTCTTTTCAACAAGTGTCCGGACTAGCCCTTTTCCATCATTGAAAACCCTTGTTTCAGGACACTTGTTGGATCTGGTGTGTATTGGCTTCTGGTGGTTGTGGCTTCGCTTGGCTTTTGGCTTTTGGCTTTGGTTTCACTTGGTTTTTGGCCTTGGCCGTTTTGGCTTTTATGCAGATATCTAATGGAAAATGAAGGAGAACTAAGGGAAAATGAAGGAACACTAACGGAAAATGAAAGAAACCAATTGGAAAATAAAGAAAAACTGATAGAAAATGAAGGAAAACTAATGGAAAATGAAGGAAAACTAAGGGAAAATGAAGGAACACTAACGGAAAATGAAAGAAACCAATTGGAAAATAAAGAAAAACTGATAGAAAATGAAGGAAAACTAATGGAAAATGGAACATGAAAGAAAACCAATGGAAAACTAATGGAACAACTATTGGAAAATGAAGGAAAACTAATGGAAAATGAAGGAAAAGTAATGGAAAATGAAGGAAAAGTAATGGAAAATGAAGGAAAACTAATGGAAAATGAAGGAAAACTATTGGAAAATGAAGGAAACGTAATGGAAAATTAAGGGAAACTAATAGAAAATGAATGCAAACTAGTAGAAAATGAAGGAAAACTAATAGAAAATGAAGGAAAACTATTAAAAAATGAAGGACAACTAATGGAAAGTGGAAGAAAACTAATAGGAAACCCAAAAACAAAGAAAATTCCTAAAAAAAAACAAAAAAAATCCTAAAAAAAATCTTCGCCCTTTACAATTTTTACCCGGTAACCCGCAAATGTGTCTTTGTTCTCTTTGGGGATCGTGAAACTTTCTTGCGCTGCCCAGAATATGTTGCTCCGAAATCTTGATATTGGATTGTTATTGACACCCTGGTGGTTTGTTCCAAACTCACGGACTCGTACACTCACGGCTCATAAATTCAGGGTCGAGCAGTTGATATGCAGGTAAAAGGCCAAAATTGATTGTACCATATGTAAATCATATGTACATACCTAGAGACACATGATGGAAGTCTGGGCTATGTCTCGTTGCCAAATTCTGAGGCTACATGCCTGGAGTTGCAGAATGTGCTGTGAAAGACAATCGTTTGATTTATGTCGATATCCGCGGCTACCAGGCGCATGACGCATAACATTGCATGACCTCATGAGAGAACAGTTTCCAACAGGGCAGCGGTGTGTGTGTGTGTGTGCGGTCCTGCATCAAACAATGTGGCATTTGTGCTTTGCATTGTTGCGATTTGTTGCGTTCAATTCCTTTTGTGCAGCTTCAGTCCATCAATCAAACAGAACAAAAGAGATGCTCGCAGAAACAAAAGCACTCAGGGTTCAACACCGCGTACTGACCAATAGCTACTGTCCAAAGAAGATGTTGTAATGCGATATGCAAAAGGGTACAATCTTTGACATTCACAAACTCCGCGAACAAAAAGCTGCTGTTTCGAGCAGATGGTCAGCTTCGATGTCGGGCCAGCTGGCGACTTTGGTTCCTTGAGCGCATTCCTGGGATCAAGAACAGCGACTGCAGTGAATGCAGTGTCAAGAACAGTATCAAGAACAGTATCAAATGCAAATGGCCCCGGGAACGAACACACAAAGACAGCTCAAGGAGTTTCAGGCGCAAAGATTGACAAAGACAACACCTTGCTGAACAAGAAAGTGGCATTTCGAATGTTGAAGCAGCTGGGCTGTGAAGTCCGGAAACTGGAGAGTGACGTTAGCTTTGTTGAGGTAAGCCTTGGCAAACAGCCTGTTTTGTTCAAAATGTTGGTGGAACTGGGCCACGGGCCGTGTAGAAATGAAGATGGTGATCTGGTGGTGCGAGTGAAGGAGCAGCGGCGAAAGGTAGAGGAGGTGGTTGCTCGGTTGGCCGCACTGTCAGCACCGAGAAAATTTGACAAAGAAAAAGACAACAAAGATGAAGGCTATCCGAGCCTCGGCCAGAGTCGTCGCTTGAGGCCCGAGGACGAGGAGCAGTTGGCGAAACGCCTCTACGTCTGCAAGGACAAGGACAGCAAGGATCCCAAGGACCGAGCCAAAGAGAGCCCTAGAGACAACTCGAACAACACAAACAGCACAAAACCACGGAGAAGTGCTGCAGAGCAACGTGCCTATCTGGATCGACTCTTGAAACCCAAGGAGTCAGAGAATTCCGAGGAGTTCATGGAGATCGGAGGCATCGGAGGCATCGGAGGAGCCGGTTTTCAACTTGCTTGGCCCAAGTTCTCCAGCCCTTGCGCTCACAAGAAGAAACGGGTCGAACGAGTCGAACGAGTCGAACGAGTCGAACGAGTTGAACGAGTTGAACGAGTGAATTCTCCTTTGGTCCGTGCAGGGCAGTTGTTGCTCGACAGGCCCACGGAGGTCGTTGCGGAGGTCGTTGCGGAGGTTGACTCCGACACCGTTCAGGAATGCTTGGGGCCCAAAGGCGATGGAACTTCCACTTGCTCCAGTGCGAGTCCTGCGAGTCCTACGAGTTCTGGGAGTCCCGTGAGTTTCGGTGCCGGTGACCGTGAATGCGGCCGAGTTCAGAGCTCGGAGAAGTTCCAGGACGAGAGCACGGACGAGTGGCTCGATCGGCTTCTGGGGGCCGACGCCAAGCCGCCTCGGCGTTCTGCCAAGGAGCAGCGGGAGAGACTGGAGGAGTTGGCAAAGCCTCGTCAGGTGAAGGAGAAACAGAGAGAAAAAGGAGAAAAAGGAGAACAGATTGGCAAAGAAAGAGAACAAATCTGCCAGAGCCGATCCCCGCGCTCGCAGAGAGAGGCTTGCACCCGACTGTCCCAGCCGCGAAAGCCCAAAACTAAAGACGCCAAAGAATCGAAAGAACGACAGGACACCAACGACACCGACTTCAAGGAGAACGACACCAACGATATCAAGGACGCTCAGGACATAGACATAGCTGGGGGAGTTGGCAACGATGACTTCGGTGACTTCGCTGGTGACTTGGACGACTTGGACGACTTGGACCCGGCCGTTGATGACACGCAGGTGCAAATCATCCCTTCGATGCTGGCGCAGCGTTCTCCACGTTTGGAACGAATTGATGAAGAGAACGCAGAGAACACATGCCCCATGCAGCATGCAGACCATGCACACCATGGTTCAGAAACTGCGGCACGGCGTGGGCGCATCCGACACAGAGCTGCCGCCCAGGCTGCTCCATACTCTGTGCCAGTCTGCCCCAAGAGCGTTTCCAGCGTTTCCAAAGCTCAACGCAGGTGCCAGAAGAGCTTGCAAGCCATGCATGCCATGCAAGCCCAGCAAGCCCCGCCCATGGAGAATGCGTTGACGCCACAAGAGATGGGAAAACTTGCAAGTTTTCTAGATGAAACTGCTCACAGTGAGGCCATGCTGGATGACATCGATGCCTTGTACAGCCAGCTGATCACTGGAGAAGATCTGGCTGCCTCCAGAGCAACTGGCCCAGAGGCAGAGACTGAAATCCTTTCTCACGCTCCATTCAGTTCCCATGGGGCAGAAGCAAACGATGCAAACGAAGCAAACGATGAAGAGCTCTTGGTTGCCATTGACCAACTTTATCAAAAGATGATCCCGTCGAAGGAAGCGAAGGAAACGCAGAGAGAAGACGAAACGCAAAAACCGATGCACATGGCATCAAGCGCATCAAGCGCATCAAGCGCATCAAGCGCATCAAGCGCATCAAGCGCATCAAGCGCAGGAAACAGAAGTGAAAGTCTTCCTTTTTGCGTTTCTCGTTCTGCACAGCTAAAGCTGGAAGTGTCGCCCCAAGGTGCAGAAGGTGCAGAAGGTGCAGAAGGTGCAGAAGGTGCAGAAGGTGCAGAAAGAGATCCTTCTCAGAAAGTCGGCTCAGTGGGTTCAGTAGGTTCAGTAGCTTCAGGTGGAAATGGAAACTGGCAAAACTGGCAAAACTGGCAAGAAGTTGAAGAAGTTGAAGAAGTTGAAGAAGTTGAAGTGGAAAAAAATATGCAAAATGGAAGTGCTCAGGAGCTTCAAGCAGAGCTTCCGGTGCTTCAAGCAGTGCTGGAGGAAGTGCTGTGGAGCGCTCTGCTCCTGGCGCGCGCCGGCCATGCGCAGCTCAGCGACCTGCTCGGCCTGTCCCTGTCTCAGTCCCTGTCGCCTCAGGAGTCTCAGACCGCCGTGGCGGCACCACTGGCGGCCGCGTGTCGCCTCTGTCCGCTGCCGTTGAGTCTGCGGCAGCGCTTGCACAACGAGCTGCCGGAGCTGCACCAGGCGCTCTTCTCGTACGAGTCGAAGTCAGCCGGAAATCTTCCAGATGTTCCGGTTCCAGAAATCCTCCCAGCCTTGCGAAAGGCCAGGGATTCCTTGCTGACTTTCGCTTCCAACTCGGCCAACTCAGCCAACTCGGCCAAAGGTACAGCAGCTACAGCAACTTCTGACGCTTCTGACCTTCCGGCTGACCATCCTGATCTCCAAGACCTCCAAGAGCACCAGCAGTTGGAGCGACCTTTGTCCGCAACGTCTGCAACCTCTGCAACCTTGCCTGGCGATGCCACACCCGGTGCCAGTCATGTCAAACGCAGACAGCTGCGGCGCACCAGTCTTAGCCACTGGACTGAGGAATCACTTGAACAGCTTGAAGCACCCAAATCAAAAGGAACCAAGACCTCCAAAGGTTCGAAGAAGTGCAATTGTTGATCAATTGTTGATGATGTTGTTGATGTTGGTGATGTTGATGTTTCACCTGACATGTTTCACCTGCAAGACATTTGGAACATTTGGAGTGCCTACAGAGAAAAGGATTGCTCAAATCGCTCAACTCGCTCAACTCCAGCCTGCCTCAGCTTGCGTTTTGTGGTTTTGTGACTTGTATTTTGTCCACATCGTTTTTAGTTTTGCTTGCTTTTTTCTCACGCTTTATCCGAATGATTCAACAGAGCACGGAGCTGCGCTCGAAGATCTTCAAAGATCTTCGAAGATCTTCAGAATGTTGCCTTCTGCTTTCACAAGTTGTGACATTTTTGACATGTCTCTTGTTTCCTTCTGTAGATTTTCTTCAATTGTTTCTTCTTAAACATGTTAACACAGTTATATCAATATATCTAACTATATCTATTTATGTCTAACTAGATCAAGTTAACTATATCAAGGTAACTACATCAATGTCCCTTTTCTTTCTTCATAGGACGATCAAGTTAGATTTTGTTATATTTTCATTGTTATATATGTTACATATCAAGTTAATCAAGATATAAATGTTCGTTCCCTTTTTTTTCTTCGTAGGACAAGGAGTTCAATGCGAAGATGTCGGAGAAGTCGCTGTTCCGATGCCACTCGATGACCAAACCCATCACCGCCGTGGCCCTGATGAGTCTCTGGGAGGTGCCTGAAACCGTCCCTGAAAAAACAATATGTTGTTTTGATAAATTTCAAACATATTTCGTTAACAGAATTAAAAATATATCCAAACGAAATATTAATTTAGTGTTATAAAAAACGAAGTTATGTATAAACACTTAAACACTAAATTAATATGTTAATATGTACTTCTATGTTATAAGTTTTTCCCACTAAAAAATTGTCAAACACGTCATTTTATAGTGAAAGTATGTGGGAGTGCTATATTATCCCGTTAAGAACTTGTGCGTTTCTGAAAAAAATTAGTGAAGTATTAGAAACACACGAGTTTTGACACCGTTGACACCATCCTCCGTCCTAAGCCACAACGGAAGCCACAACAGGGCGGATCGCCAGGAGGGGAAGCTCGCCTTGGACGACCCAGTTCACAAGTACATCCCGGCTTTCAGAAACATGAAGGCAGGAGAGATGCAGAGATGCAGAGATGCAGATGTAAAGAAACATGTAAGGAGACTCAGGAGACATGTAAAGATTGAATTGAGATTGAACTGCCTTATCTATCCTTATCTTCTTATTTTTTTTTTTGTTGATGGCAGTTTGCCTGTCATGATGTTACAGGCATATTACGGCATTAGCGCGATATCTTCCATAGTGTTGCGTCGTGTTGCATCGTGTGTAGTAGCGTCGGCTGTGGGGAGCTATGCCATCCACTAACAACACATATGTGCGACCGTGAATCCACTAAGCAGTGCCCGCATATGCTTCATAAAAAGTTTGTGTTTCTTGCACTTGACACTGGAAGAGCCACATCACGGGACATTCTATTTGGGCATTTGGGCAAAAGGTTCTATGCCTGCATTGGTATTGAGCAGCAAGCAGTCTACAGTGTCGCATCTTCGTAGCATTTGCGTAAATCACATAATGGTGTCCAGATGTGATATGCTCGGACATGCGCCCAGCGCCCACCACTATCTTCTTGTGATGTGGAATCTGCACATGCGCACACATAAATAGACATTATATATTAGCATATATTAACTACTGAATGTTGTAGTCATGTATCTGGAGTTGATGCAGGAATTGCATAGCCAGTTTTTGTTCCACTGCATTTGGCTGGTGAGTCTAGCAGTCTTGCGCAGAGAAGGTTTTGTTAAATTCACATTTGTTTGAATTAAAACGTGTCAATTGGAAATCTTGGGAAATCTTGTGCCCAGAGCCCCTCACATCTTCCAATCCTTAGGCCTGGCGCCCTGTTTAAATATGGGCATTGAATGGGGTCATCCAACCGTCCAAAAAGTTCTTTTGCGAACCAAAAAACGTTTTTGCGAACCAACCAAAAACAGAGCTGTCCGGACACGCCTTGTTTTCCTAAAAAGATGTCTTTCGAGTATTTTGGAGGCTACCATCACCCAACCCATCCTTTTTCAAACTTGGGAAAATATTTTTTGGATGTTGCGGGTCCTTGAAACAGCGATGGCCCCTGATCATGTCACACCGATTGGAAACGTTATGACGTGGCGGGAGTTCGTTGATGGGCATGACTTCATCTAGCAGAGTCGCCAGCCAAGACACTAACGGATGGAATCTACCTAGGCCTTTTTCAAATGTCTGCGCCGTTTTCCAACAAATAACGCAAATACAAGGGCCAAGAAGAAAAGTCATTAAAATCGGATCAGGGAGATTCCAGGTAGATACACACTTGACATGCATGCATCCATGCATACATACATACATGTTTGCATCCATACGTACAGGTTGACATGCAAAGATGAACACACGGAAACATGGATGCATACATAAGTGCATGCATACGTGCATCTACACATGCACATACGTAATTATATATAGTTTTTGACATGCACGATTCCAAATAATTCCAATGATTTTACATATGCTTGTGCATATGTGTTCAATGTTTCTGCGCATATTTGTTTGTGTGTGTGTGTGCAGAACTGATGCTCACCCTTGCAAGGCCCTTGCCCCTTCCCAATGACGGGACTGACGGGACTGAGTGAATCTGAGTGAATCTGAGTGACTGCGTAACAATCGGAACATCAGAGTGTCATCGCGTGTCTCAGACCCTCTCAGTCTGTCCCGTGCAGAGCACTTTGTTCGGGCCGACTGGCGGTGCAGGTCCTGCGAGCAGGCCGATTGGAAGATGCGAAGCGGCCAATTACATTGCGGCATTTGGTGATGCACACAAGTGGATTGGGTTCCTTGTATTTCCTTGTCACATCACCCCTTTGCCAAAAAAGAAGCAAAGATTGCTGAAGTCAGAGATATATGAAGTCAGGTGTTCAATTAATTGCAATAAGAGTCCCAAGTCCACACAGCAAGAGGGAGAAGCAGGAGGAATTGGCAAAAAGAAAATGAGCAGTCAGTCAGAGGGTACATTAGCAGCCTCATTACTTGGAACAAGGAAAACAAACTCGCCAAAAGGTTGTTTGATGAAGATGTTCAGGCAGAATGGTGTCCGCGTTGATGATTCAAGGTTTATTGAAGTTTATGTGCATGTTTTCTGTGGCAGAAGTTTGGAAGCCTTGATGAAGTCCGGAAGGGATTTTCAAAGTTTGATGTGGCAGCATTTGCTTCAACATCAACACTATCAACACATATCAACACTATCAAACGCATCATGCTGTACCAACACGGAAATACACGTAGATCTACCGTAGATCTGTGGAGCATATCCTAAAGACGATCATCGAAGGCAAGTTTAACCAAGAAGGATATGCAAAACTTGTTTCCCATGATGCGCCCGTCCAAGTCTTGTGCCTTGCAAAGGCCCGGAATACTGCAGTAATTGCATTTCGTCAATGGAAACGTGAAAAATAACGAAAACCTCGAGAAAATTACGAAACAAATGCCAAATGCAGTTAATTCCTATATGTTTCCTATTCTTTCCCTAATTTTATCCTACTTTCTCGACTTTTTGTGCAATTCCTGACATGTCCAGAAAAATAAGAAGAAATAAGAAAAAATGGCTGTGGCCAAAGAGAAATCCGAACTGTTGCTGAAAAAATCTAGAAACATGAAAAATTGCAAACACCTAGAGAAAGTTAGGAAACAAATAGGAACATATTAGGAAAAAATAGGAAAATAGGAACAACATAGGAAACAAATAGATCGTCAAAATCACGCGTTTTTGTCCACCCATTGTTTTTCCTAATTTTATTATTTCCTTGATTTCCAAGAGGTGCCTGGAATAGGCAAACATAATGCTTTTAGATGCTATTAGTTTTCTTGCTGCAAGATTTCCCTCGTCTCCATCAAAGCTGCAATTTGGTAAAGGCGGTAAAGGTAACTTGTAGCTGGCTGATGGTATGGCTTCATCATGCTAAACCACTTGATATACCACTTGGCCTCCAAGGCTACGGTCCATCGAGAGAACGAAAGACTGAAAAACTCGAAGATGGGCCCTACCTGCCTTTGGTGAAACGCATCGACTCTGGACTTATCAAAAATTTGCTGCTAGGCAAGCAGAAAAGAAGAGAAGACATCGGGCATGTTTGAGTTGTTTTTGATGTGTTCCCTTTCTTGCGTTTGTAATAGTCATGATTAGCCATGCAAATAGTCATTGTATCCCGTTGTAACATTGTAGTCGTGTAGGAAATCCTTTTGCAACGAGCTGGCGAAGTTTCCTTTGCAGTTTCATCCTGGTGATCGGTGGGAATATTCAATGGGTTTGGACGTGATTGGTCGGGTCCTGGAAGTCGTGTCGGGTTTGCCACTGGATCGTCTTTTCCGTCAACGGATCTTTCGCAAGATGGGCATGAAAGACACAGTCCCTTGGCTCCCTCAATTAACAGTTGTGGTTTCAATATTGTGAGTTTGACCTGTCTAATGTATATTTTGTATAGCCAAGTGATCACATGCCCCCGTTGACATTTGGCTTTAGGGCCCTTGAGTCATACCGCGCTGCCGTGGTAAAAGTTGGGCACTAACGATCCCGTTTCCAATTCAGATTGGTAGCGGAGCGGGTGACGACCCGCATCCGGTGGTACGTCAGTGACCCAGGGCCCCTTTGTGAATTTGAGTCTGGTAACTTTGGGAATCAACTGAACTTCGAGTGTGTCGTGGTTCGGGAATCTGTCTGACCCTGACCAGGGCAGGCACTTGTTAACGTTTTTCCTTGTTCGACTCCGAACGGAGCGAGCATCATGTCGATCAATGGCCTTCGTTTCAGCCAGGAGCGCCATTCGTCGGCACCACTTGAGACAAAGAGTGGATCGTACATCTATGCAGGTGATGCGGCGAACTTTCATGATTGGCAGTTGAGGACTCTCCTTCGGATTCGTCTTTATGAGCAACAATTGGAGGAGATGAGTAAGCCTGCGGATCCCGTTGGGACCGCAGCAACAGAGCCTGCCGCAGAAGACGCAGATGAGTATGCTACTTTTCCAGATTTGTCGGGTGCAACTCAAGCAGCCCAGCCTACATCAGCGGTCTCGACTCCGAAGTCTGGAGCGAGCCGAAAATCCTCGAAGTCCGGCAAGCAGAAGACAGATGTTGATCGTGGACCATTGGTCAACAAGGTGATTGAAGGACTGAGAGGAGATGCTTTCTCAATAGCTAGGGATCTTGGACTTGAAGTGTTGTCTGAACCTGGAGGGCTAGTGAAACTTGTGGGTGAGATCAAATCCCATGTGTTTCCAAGAGCTCGTGAGGAAGCAAAGGAACTATTTCGTGCAGGACAGAAGCAAGGTGGTCCTTTGTCTCGCCAACCAGGCGAACCCATGCTTTCCTATGTTCAGAGGAGACGACGTTGGTGGCACATGCTATGCGAGTTGGATGACACAATGGTATTTTCAGACAGCTTGAGGACAGAGTTGATGTTGGAGTTGAGTGGACTCAATCGACAAGAGATCCTCGTTGTGAAGGCTTGTGCAGACACTAAGGATTTTGAAGGTGTCGGCAAGGTGCTGATCGAGAACTACAGTGGCACCCACTTGCGAGAAGGGTCACGATCCTGGACAGGACGTGGTAATCCTCAACAGTTTGGCAAATCAACAGGCAAGGGTTATGGCAAAGGCAAACCTTCTTCGAAGGGATCGTATTCCCAAGCAGCTTATGCAGCCTACCCCGATGATGGGGAGGATCATGCAGAATCTTGGGATGAAGTTGCGAATCAATCCTGGGAGGATGATTCATATGTTGGCATGCTTGGTGACATTGCAGAAGAGGAGCCAGGAAACCTAGAAGGTGACAACGAATTTGATTTCTTTGACGATGTCGATGAGTACGAAGCAGTTGCATTGAACAGCTTGCTTGAACTTGAAGGTGCAGAAGACGATCGACAAGCAGGAGACGCCATCCAGCTACAACTTGCTGCTTTCACCGCAATGGGGAAAGCAGGTGGCAAGGGCAAATCCTTCGGGAAGCCCAAAGGAAAGGGGAAAGGAAAGATTGTGAAATCCAACCTCACGATCGACCAGAGGAGACAGAAGCTCACAGAGTTGAAGTCGAAGAGCAAGTGTTTGAGATGCGGAGTCATAGGGCACTGGGCCGGTGACCCGGAATGTAAATTCCCGGGGTCCAAATCCGGAGCCCCTGGAAGGCCAGCCCCAAAGCCCGCAGCTCACTTTGCCGATATGAGTGATTCTTCAGATGATGATGGTGTGACTTTGACAGCTTCACCTGACCGTGACAGAGATGCAGTCGCTATGATGGCAGTTCGACAAGCGAAGCCTAGCAGCAGACCTTCACGTGCAGCAGCATCCAGCAGCAACATTGGCTTGATTTCCCGGGATCTCGATGTTACAATGAGACCCGAGGACCATGGGTGCATCTTTCCTGTTGGACAGTTCAAGGGTTTGTCTTTTTGGAATGTGTTGTTTGAACAGACAGGGTACTATCATCATGCCAAGAAACATACCCCCAAGAGTCCATACTACGTCACATGGTTGAATTGGGTTGACAAGTACTTTGTGGTTGGTGCTGATGGGATTCATTTGCGCGAAGTCCCTGTTGAGCATGTCGAGCACCGAGATTTGTTGGTGACTCGGGAGGCTGGCAGGAGAAAACCCCCAAATCCACCTTTGCCGAACAAGTGTCAGGAATGTCGTGAGTTTACAAAACAAGGTTCTACGGGGTACACCATCAGGAAGACCTGTCTTGTGTGCGGTCATTCCGAAACAACAAGACGTGACATGGTACCGTTGATGTCCCCTGAAAATTGCCCTCATGACGACACAGATTTTCGGGGATCCAGCAAATCAACACACCGTACTTTCTGCAAGAAGTGTTGCACGTTCATTGATGAAGCTCCTATGCAGATTCGTAAGGAGCGTGTTGCAATTGCCAAGAAGGTTGAAACAGCATCAGTTCGAGCAGTCCCCATTGTTGAATCATTGGTTGAAGAATCGGATGGATTGAATCCAGTCCAGTTGGAAGAGTTGTTGCCCCTGTTTGCCACTCTTGTTACCGAAACCTGTCAATCTGAGGTCATGACCCGTGCACGTCTACATGAACTACTCCATCAAGCCATCAATGACGTGACAGAGGAAGAGGACAGTTTTTCTCTTGTCAATGAAGATGGGCACGGCGACCCCTCGGGCAGGGAGTTAGCTGGGTACGTTGGCGTTTGTTTGCATGGAAGTGACATTCAATACCCCCAAGACTTGGTTTACATGAACTATGAAACTGTTGACATTGCCAGGTCATCTCATGTCTTTGCAGTGTTGGATGAAGGTTGCAACAGCACTTGTCATAGCAAGGCTTGGGCAGTCGATGCAGAAGCACGACTGGCCCGTTTGGGTTACAGCATGCCATTGAAGGATGACAGTTGTAAGAGTTTCGCTGGTCTGGGAAGTGGCAATACCAAGACCGAAGGTGTGAGATCTATTCCTTTTTCGCTGCTGCTTCCAGACGGGAACATGAATGGGGAGTTGGATTCATATCAATTGTCAACAGGCAACAGTCCATTGCTTCTTTCATTGCATGCGCAAACCAAATTAGGCCTAGTGAAGGACCTAGCAAAAGGAGTGGTTTCTATCCGAGATCAACCATTGAATATCAAGAGGTGTTCAAAATCAGGTTTACTTGTGATGAACTTGACTGAAGGGTTGACCAACATCATCAACACACCGCCGAATGAACTTCCCCAAATCCCAAAGTGTCACAGAAAGTACAACATTGCGTACACAGCATCCACATCAGACGTTGCCATGGCCGATCATGATATGTGTGGCTTTCATTCGAGGGACTATGACATCTTGCAGACGAAGTTGAATGAAGAACTGCGCAGTGACAGGAAGGTGATCATCATGACTCGTGGACGTAGATTTCAACAACATGCGTGCAGATCTAGCAGGAACACTTTGAGTATCAACTGTGAAGACATTTACGATCCTGATCAGGACGTAAACCTTAGATCTCACGTGGGTTGGCATCATGGAATCCTTGAGACGCTGAGCAAGGTGGACAGGTTCATCCAACATCTCAACAACATCCTGGAGTTCGTCACTCAGCAGGAGGCTGGCAGCAAAGTGTTGGTGGACCTGGAGTGCAAGTCAGGCCGCCACAGGTCAGTGGGACAAGGATTTGCTGCCTTCAGGTGTCTCAAAGTTCTTGGGTACGACGTTGTTCTCATCCATGCATCATCTTGGAAGTGGGGCGAGATGCGTTGTGGTGGTGTTTGCCATGGTTGTCAAGACATGGCTGCGAGCTTGGGACAAATTCGACATTTGATCCCGAACATGTCAAGGTTGGCACGATCACGAGGCAGTGTGAGTTCAGGCCGTGACGTGCGTGACGCTCCAGCCGATGATGCTTCAGGTGAACATTCATCTCTTCCTACATCAGATCATCCCACTGCAGGTCATCCTACATCAGATCAACTTGATGAGATTCGACGTTTGGTACAAGGGCTTGCAACTGACGTTGGACATCTTCGGACAGAACAGGTTGAGATCAAAAGGATGGCTGAGACAGGTCGAAGATCAAGGAGCCCTCTACGTCGACGACGATTGCCAACACCACCATCACCACCAAGACGCAGGAGAAGCCCAAGCTACAGTCGCAAGATGCCTCCTTGGAGAATGGCTGGACGTGGCAGGAGTCCCCCAAGGGGAAGGAGCCCGAGATTGGATCCTTTGAGACCATCTTTGATGCCGAGGCCTCCAGATCATCCTCCACCACACATTTCGGACGTGCCTGGGACCGACGACGGATCCCGATCTTCAGGGGCCATGGATGGACCCCGAGCTTCAACGTTGCCACAACGATCTCGAGAACCTCCCAATGATCGCGATGAGCTTGAGCGACTGATCCGCAACAATTTGGCATCAGATGGACCGTTTGACAACAAGAACGTGTCAGTGACAACATTGGACGGTGAGCTTCTTAGCGAAGTTGTATCTTTTTGCATCCGTGAGGGTAACAGGGATCGGCTCTTTTGGATTTGCAAAGATGGCGATGATCCACTGACAGAAGGTGTCAGAATGAATGTCCTGATTCGAGACCACATCCGACCCAATCGGATTATCAAGATTTCGAAAGGCATCAAGCACTGGAAGCGATCTACGTGGTGCAGACCTCGCAATGGAGGCAATTGGGAGCTCATTGAAGACAACGTTGACAGCAAAGCAATGGTACGTTTGGACAACTCGTGGATCGATGTGATTGTGTTTCACCACCCACCAGGGGTGTTTGATGACTCCGGGAGGGGAGCATACATGGGCGTTCGTGTCAAGTTGACCCCCAACAAGAAACTGAGGGATATAAGGGATGATTTTGAAAAGTCTTTGAACCCAAAAGTTGAGATGAAATCCCCAGAACCCAAAA